CCCCCCCCCCCCCCCCCCCCCCCCCATTTAGATAGTTTCCTCACACTCTTGAGATGCTTAGTACTCAGCTGAGTACTTGAGGAAGACCATCTGTAGATGTCTGGAATCTGGAGTTTTGTGTGCACTGTTGTCCTCTCTACTGCTTTGCCCTACAGCATATAGCTGCGTTGGGCTCTCTGGAAGCCATAGCTCTCTGGGCTGTCATAGGGCCCACCTCACCTGTTTGCCAGTTTTCAGGGGTCACGGCCTTTTGTTGACTGGAGTCCATGGTCTTGAAAACTGTTGCTTCGTATTTGTTTCACTCAGGAGGGTGAATCTGGTCCTTGTTACTCTATCTTTGTTGGAAGCTGAAGTGTCACAAGTTTAATTTTGAAATAATAGAACTGTGTATTTTAAAAAATGTTGTATGAATTAGTATGTAAATGTCAAGGGACTTTTCACCTATTTTGCACCTATTATGCTGACTGAAAATTGTTGATAGTAACATAGAAAAACATTTGGAAAAAGGACCAAAATCAGGACTGCTGTAACATAGAATGTTACATTATTTAAATGTATTATTCAAATGTGGAAAGACAAATACATAATCCTTCTACCATTTAAAACTTTTTAAAAAAGTTAGTGAACTTCGTTTTTTTAGAACAGTTTTAGTTTAAAGCAAAATTGAAAAAAGTACAGAGAGGGGCGCCTGGGTGGCTCAGTCGGTTGAGTGTCCGACTTCAGCTCAGGTCATGATCTTGCAGTTCGTGAGTTTGAGTCCCGCGTCAGGCTCTGTGCTGACAGCTCAAAGCCTGGAGTCTGCTTCAGATTCTGTGTCTCCTTCTCTCTTTGCCCCTACCCCACCTGTACTCTGTCTCTCTCTCAAAAATAAGCAAACATTAAAAAATATTAAAAAAAGAAAGAAAGAAAAAAGCACAGAAATTTCCCATATATCCTTTATTCCCAAACGTATACAAAGTTCCCCACTCTCAACATCCTCCACTACAGTGGTGTATTTGTTACAACTGATGAACATACACTGACATGTCATTATCATCCAAAGTCCATAGTTCACATTAGGGTTCACTCTTGTACATTCTGTGGGCTTTGACAAAAAATATAATGACATGTGTCTACTACTGTTGTAATATAAATAATAGTTTCATTCTGTGCACTGCTTGTTTATCTTTCCTTCCCCTACTAAGCCTGGCAACCACTAATGCTTTTATTGTCTCCATAGTTTCACCTTTTCTAGAATATCATACAGTATGTAAACTTTCAGTTTGGCTTCTTCCACTTATTAATAGGCCCTGAAGTTTTCCCCGTGTCTTTTCATGGCTTGATAGCTTATATCTTTATTTATGCTGATAATGGATAATACTCTATTATTTGGCTGTACCACAGTTTATTTATTCACCTACCTACTGAGGGACATCTTAGTTGCATCCAAGTTTTGGCAGTTAGAATTATGCACTGAAATAAAAATCCACGTGCAGATTTTTTGTAGGCCTTCCATCATTTTAAAGAGGTAGTTAGGAAATAGGGAGATGTGGTAAGATTTCAGGTCGTTTTTAGTTTTTAAAAAGTAGAGTTTTAAGAGAAGTTCATATGAAGGAAATTCTGGCATTAGATTTGTTAAACTGGACGTAAAAAACTAGGAATTTGGAATTTCCTCTCTGAAAATGAGATGAGATTCTTTTGTTTTCAGGCATTCCTGATCCTTCTTTCTCAGCTCTAAAATTAGAGATTAATAACCTTTTTAAATTAGTAATCTTCATGTATTTAATGCATTCATAGAAGTTGCATTAGGAATTAATTTTGAATGCAAAAAATTTCTGGCCGTTACATACTTTTTAAAAGTATGAGCTCTGGACCCAAATGGACTGTGTGCACACGTTCTTTCTACCACTTACTATGACATTGAACAAGTAATCCAACCTCTGTAAGCCTTCGATTCCTCAACTAAAGCATGGATATAGAAATAGTGCCCAGCTTTTAGGATTGGGGTGAAAATTCAGTAAGGATGCATGTAAAGTACATGCCTAGCTCATAGCAGATGATCTGTAAATGATAGCTGTTGTGTCAGTTATAAAGTGCAGTCTGTGAGTTCATAATATTTTTAGCTCTTTATTGCATTGAATGCAGTAATGCATTTTTTATGGCAGAGTTTGAAATATTCAGTGAGTTAGAAAAAAATTAAGACTTTTTTATTCCCATGTGTAAAAAATGGCTTCTGTTGTGATTAATTATTGTGCTTATTGTCACAGAAAGTCTAGAAATGATGATGACTTAAGAGGTTAACTGCATACAGTGATAGTTGAAAAGCCTTTGTCATTTGGGCTGTCACTTCCTGTGCTGTGTTCTTAAACTGAGCTGTCTCCCGTGGAAATCACATGCACTCGTAGGGCTTCACTGAGCAAATACATTTCATCCCTCCACCTGCCTGCTTGATGCATGCATTTATTTGGTTGTGTCACGGGCACTTAAAGCTCAGTGTGCCCTGCATTGAATTCATGGTCTTTCTTTTCAAACTGTCATTTTTTCTAGTGGTGTTCACCATCTCAGTATACAGCAGTATACAGCATAGCCATACATCCCTTTGTTCAAGCCGGAAATTTGAAAGTCGTCCTGGATTCCTCCCCTGGCTAGTTATTTCCCAGGTGCTGTTGATTCTGTTACATGTCTCTGAAATCCTTCCACCTTTCTCACTCCCTTCTGTTGTCAGCTCCAGCTCTTTGACTGGTTTCTTCACAAATCTCCCTTTGCTTTCTTCCAATTCTATGTATACAGTATAGCTGTAGCGATTCTGATTCACTCCTAACTGCAGAATCATTCTTTGGCTTTGCTTTGCTTTTATGATACCTTCTTAAAACCTTAGTATGGTCTTCGTGGCCCTGTGTGATTAGGCTCCTGCTGGTGTCTTTAGCTCTGTCTATATCCATCTTCATTTTCCATCTCTGTTTCCTTCATTCTGATCTCATTTCATTTCCTCAAAGCCTCTCTTTTTTCTCTCTTGCCTCTTGCTGTCCACTCTGTTACTATCTCTTACTCATATTTCAGATTGCATCTTAAATTTTAGCTTTTCTGGAATGCCTTTCCTGATCCCCCCCACCCCCGCATTTCCTCTTGCATCAGTTCTCCTGCCTACACTATGTCCCTTTACTGTCATCTAGAATTCTGTTTCTCAGTCCCAGGACTCATCCTCCTATAAATATTTGACCAATACCTCCTTTCCAAGATTACACACACTGTAAGATTAAGGACTATGTTTGTCTTGTTTGTCACTGTGTCCCCTGCTGCCTAGCACAATACCATACTCAGGTGTGTGGTGAGTAGTTGTTGAATGAATGAACTTAGGTGTTTAGAAAGTTTAAATTCTATCTGTAATTACCTGTAATGATTGTATTGTCACCTTTTTTGACTCCCCTATTCCTTACAGCTTTTACTTCAAAAATACATATTTTTTAAGTAATGAATTTATTTTAGGATAAAGAAGAAAGAAAATACCATTTACTTTTACTCTACCAGGCATCATGATGGTCGCTTGGATTAAATTGTTTCATTTGGTTCTTACTATTAATGTCGGGTACTTACTCTTATCCTTGTTTTACCACTGAGGAGACAGTCTCTGGGTAGATTCTTGTGTCAGGTCATATGGCTCACCACTGGCAGATAGGTCACACTGAGGTCTTTCCATTCTAGAACTTGTCGTCTTTTGCTCCTGCAATTGTAGTACCTTCTCCAACGTAATGTTTACACTAAGTAATTAGCATACACATTATAATGAATTTCTTATGCTTAGCCATGGTGTAAGACTTTACATTTACGGTTTGGGATACTTTTTATTAATAATTAGGAATATATCATTGATTTTAGGGCTTTAACAGTGCTTGCCTTACCTGGCACAGAGTACATGTTGTAATTGTTGATAATAGAAGTGAAATTTGTACTTGAGTAAGTTTTAAATCCAAGGAAGAAATTGCATCACAATGTCAAAGGAATTATTTTTAAGAGCTGTTATCCTGTAGCATTGGACTCTAAAAGTGATTGAATCTCTTCATCATTTTCAGGGACTATTTTTGCATATGGACAAACTGGAACAGGCAAAACTTTTACCATGGAAGGCGTTCGAGCTGTTCCTGAACTTAGAGGAATCATTCCAAATTCATTTGCTCACATATTTGGTCATATTGCAAAAGCAGAGGGAGATACAAGGTAAAAGAGAATTCTTTTATTTTCTACTATTGAGAAGTACAAACACAAGAAAGGCATATAGGCACATATCTTCTCAATACATAGTAAAACTGTTCTTGTAAGTATTTCTCTGTTTTTTTAAATGATGTTTTATTTACAGATTTTTGGTTCGAGTGTCTTACTTGGAAATATATAATGAAGAAGTTCGTGACCTTTTGGGCAAGGATCAGACACAGAGGTTAGAGGTAAGGATAACTGGAATTGAAGTGCTTTCCAAAGCAGTAGAATGTTAACTAATTAAAGTTCCTTTTGTACAAAAGGTACTTTTAATAGTTTACTTATTTTTTTTTACCTGTTTATATGGTCCCGATTCAAAATTTTAAATATTGTGAAAATTTATGCATTGAAAAGTTGTTCCATTTTCTCCCCACCCTAAGATAACCACTGTCAGTATTCCTTCAGTGTTCCTTTATGTAAATACAAACAAATAGAATTTTACTTCTGCTCTGTAAGTAGCTCTATATGTATATTGATCTGCACTTTTTTTTTAATTAAAATTCTTCTTCAGGTAAGTGTAGAGTTATGTGCAGCTGTTAAGAAGGAATATGGAGAGATTACCCTTTACATAGAAGTTCTTTTTACACAGTTTTCCCCAGTAGTCATATTTTATACATACAGAGCTTTAGTACTGTATCACAACCATGATATTGACATTGCTACAGTCTATAGATTTTACTTAAGTGCCCAGTTTTTCTTGTACTCATTTGTACTTTGTACTATTTTGTCACATGTTTATGTGATCTGTCCACTACCACGTCAAGGTACTAAGCAGTTGTATCACAAAGATGCCTCATGTTGCCCTTTTATGACCACATCCACCTCTCTCCTGACTATGTTCCTCTGTCCCCTTCCCTAATCCATGACAGTCCCTAATCATCTTTCCAATTCTAAAATTTTGTCGTTTCAAAAATGTTATATAAATAGAGCCTTACAATATATAACTTTTGTGATCGGCCTTCTTCACCTGGCATAACTCCTCTGAGGTTTATCCAAGTTGTTGCATGTATTGATAGTTTATTACTTTTTATGGTGAGTAGTAATGTATGGTGTATATATGTAAAGTTTAACCATTCACCTGGTAAGTAGTAATATATGGTGTATATATGTAAAGTTTAACTATTCACCTGTTGAAGGACATCAAGGCAGTTTATAGTTTCTGGCTGTTATGAATAAAGCATCTATGAACATTTGTACACAGATTTTTTTTAAGGTTATTTATTTTGAGAACAGAGAGTGTGTGTGTGAGCAGGGGAGGAGCAGAGAAAGGGAGAGAGAATCCTAAGCAGGCTCCACGCTGTCAGCCTGGAGCCTGATGTGGGGTTCAAATCCACATACTGTGAGATCATGACCTGAGCCTAAACCAAGAGTTGGATGCTTAACTGACTGAGCCACCCAGGTGCCCCTTCACACAGATTTTTATGTGAATGTAAGGTTCCATTTTCTGGTATGGATGCCAAGAGTACTTTACAATTTATTCTAAGTCAGAAATTTTTAATGTGTCAAAAAAGAAGAAAAAGAAGGGGCACTTGGGTGGCTCAGTTGATTTGAATGTCTGACTCTTGATTTCAGCTCAGGTCATGATCTCACAGTTTGTGAGATCAAGCCCTCTGTCCGGCTATGTGCTGAGAACATGGAGACTGTTTGAGATTCTCTGTCTCCCTCTCTCTCTCTGCCCCTACCTCACTCGCCCTCTCTGTCTCTCTCAAAATAAATAATCTAAAAAAAAAAAAAACACCTAAAAAAAAAAAAGGTCACTAATGTGACTTAAAAAAAGGAAAAAGAAAAAAAAGGGGAGGGGGAAAAATTAAATTTTTTAAGTGTCAAAAATAATGGTATTAATTATAGATATAATAAAAAATAGTAGTTTTCAATGTTTCTTTTACCTAAAGGAAAAACTATAATTTCTGATTAAGAAATTCTAGTTTTTACACATTGGAATAATAGATTGTCATGAAAGACTGTTGTCATGATGAATTCCTGAAAAGGGAAATACGAAATTACATGCATAAATGTTAGAGAATCACAAAATTTGTGAATAGGTACATAAGGTTGTTAACTGATAAGTTTAGCTGATTCCTATTCATTGTTTTTTATTGAAAATCCTATTTTTATCCCTCATTGCATTTTGTATTTTTCACTGAACCAATGGATTGTGACAATCTTTGCATATCAGTACAGAAAAGCCTCCTCATTCTTCTTTTTTTTCTTTTGTCCTTTTTATTTTTTTTTTAAATTTTTTTTTTTTTCAACGTTTTATTTTTATTTTTGGAACAGAGAGAGACAGAGCATGAACGGGGGGCGGGGGCAGAGAGAGAGGGAGACACAGAATCGGAAACAGGCTCCAGGCTCTGAGCCATCAGCCCAGAGCCCGACGCGGGGCTCGAACTCACGGACCGCGAGATCGTGACCTGGCTGAAGTCGGACGCTTAACCGACTGCGCCACCCAGGCGCCCCTCTTTTGTCCTTTTTAAAAGCTACATACTGTTTTTGGGGGGCATCATGTATTCAGCCAGCCCTCTCTTGATGAACACTTGGGTTGTTGCTGATCTGTTATAAACAATTCTGTAGTAAATAGTGTTGTACATATATGAATTCATACATCTTCAGGCATATCTGAGGATAAATTCCTGAAGCTTGACTGCTGGGTCAGGTGGTAAATAATTGGTAAATATTGCCTAACATTTTAATATTTTAAGATATGAGACAGACATAAAAAAGATTAGCCTTTAAAATATTAATATTGGAATTTTGATTGGAATTTCATTGTTAGTAAAATGATTAAAGAGTAAGGTGTATATGGTAGTTGAATATGGAACAACAATAGGTACTGTCGTAGAATGGCGTAGAATACATGTAGAGTAACAGTGGCTACTATTAAGTTCTTACAGTGTGGTAGTAGGCATTCAATGCAATAAACTGTGGTAGTAGTACACACTTTATTTCATTTAATCTTCCTAGCAGTTCAGTTTTGTTGATGTGAAAACCGAAACCTAGAGAGGTTTCCTGACTCAATCATAGTCACGTAGGTGAATGGTGGTGTAATCCAGAATTCCACATCTTCTTTATCCATTCATCTGCAGATGAATGCCCAACTGTAATATAAATGAGAATAAAAGTACTGAAAATATAAAATGGTAGTATTTCATTATATAAATGCTTAGATATGACCGTACTCAGTGACATAATGAAATAGGCATATGTAAACATCACGAACGCAACAGCTACAAATGCAGACTGTTATAAGTATGTTGTGTCCGTGATCTGAACACCTTGACTGGGGGGGGCCTGGGTGGCTCATTCAGTTGAGTGTCCAACTCTTAATCTCAGCTCACATCTTGATTTCAGGGTTGTGAGTTCAGGCCCTTTGTCAGGCCCTGCGTTGGGCTCCCACTGGGTGAGAAGCCTTCTTTTAAAAAAAAAACAAAAAACCCAAAAAACAGGTCCTGATTGTGTAGTTCATGGGTTTGAGCCCTGCATTGGGCTCTGCGCTGGCAGTGTGAAGGCTGCTTGGGATTCTCTTTTTCTGTCTCTCTCCCTTTCCCTCTCTCTCTCTCTCTCTCTCTCTCTCTCTCTCTCTCTCAAATAAATAAACTTAAAAAAATTTTTTTGACTGCCCCTCCAAAAAACAAAAACAAAGAAGCACCTCGCTTGGTGTTCCTGTCAATGGCATGGTCTTTTAAAATAGGGGGCGCCTGGGTGGCGCAGTCGGTTAAGCGTCCGACTTCAGCCAGGTCACGATCTCGCGGTCCGGGAGTTCGAGCCCCGCATCGGGCTCTGGGCTGATGGCTCAGAGCCTGGAGCCTGTTTCAGATTCTGTGTCTCCCTCTCTCTCTGCCCCTCCCCCGTTCATGCTCTGTCTCTCTCTCTGTCCCAAAAATAAATAAACGTTGAAAAAAACAAATTTAAAATAGTAACTACCTCTTGGTATTCTGAACAAAATAAAGTAGTAGTTCTTTCCTCAGTTTTGTACATTGCTCTATTATTACCATGGAAAAGCACTTTGTCTTTATATATAAAATAGAGTTTGGGTCTAGACTCAGGTAATCATAAATTATTTTTTTCATTCATGTGAATATGTACTAGGACATCAAAATTGTATGGGACAATTCTTCAGTGATAGACCATCCCATTTGTTTCAGGATATTTAGTATCCATGGCTCCTGTCTGTGAATACCAATCATGTTCTCAAATGAACCAGAAACTCAATCTACAAATTTCTAAAATATTCTAGGCTGGGGAGTAACTGCTCCTTTGAGATCGATTGTTTGAGTGTTATAAACTGTATTTGTTATAGAAGCTAAATTTCTTTGTTTTTATGACAAAAATTATTTGATATCATTACCCAATAAAAACTTTCATAAATTTAGAGTCATATTTCAGTTCTCATCTTCATATCTAATCAGTTTATCTACTGCACTTACTAAATGAATTTTAAATTAATGTCACATTGTGATTGGAAATGACCTTAGATTTTGCAGACTAAAGCAAGTTAGAAGTGTGTTTCTGCTCTATAATGACATGACTGCAGAAAATGAGAGTAAATGCTTAAAAGTTTTGATATTGCCATGACATCAGCTGCATGATTTTTGTATTTCTCAGAGATATCAGTTTGCTGGAATAGAAATATACACAGTGTTCTTTACCATAGATTTCCTGAGAAGGAAAATTTATCATCTGTAAATGATATAGACCAGTAATTTTCAAACATTTAAAAGACTTAAAACAATTAAATACATTCATCGTACCAGACCTCGTATGGAAGCACAATGTGCAAAACACATGAAAGTGAAGCTCTCTTTAGAATTTGTCTGGGCTTGAGAACCCCTGAACTCCTACAGTGGCCCCCTCAGGGCCACCATGGACTCTCTAGGGCTCTCAGAGCAGCTTGACACCCCTGGTTTATAGAGACCACCATTACTCCTTTACTACTAAATAAAATAAGGGTATATTTATACCTCATGACAAGGTAAAGAGTAATTTTTCCTAATGTATAAATATATCTGATAAATTTTTACAAAAAATACCAAAAAACTCCCAAACCGCCAAGTAGATCTCGAATCAACACCTAGAATTTGGAGTGTCTGCCCTTGTGATTTTTGTCTCTGGGGTTGTTTTTTAATTTTTTTTTTAAACTTTATTTAATTAGGGAGAGGGCCTGAGGAGGAGGGCAGAGAAGAGAGAGGATCCCAAGCAGGCTCAGTGCTGTCATTGCAGAGCCCGATGTGGGGCTCCATCTCACACACCGTGAGATCATGACCTTAGCTGATATCAACAGTTGGACGTTTAACCAACTGAGCCGCCCAGGTGCCCATGGGGTTGATTTTTTTTTTAAATTTTGTTTGTCATCTTTGTCTTTGGGATCTTACTGCCTGTGGAATGGTTCTCCCTACTGGCAGCCACAGACCTCAGCCTCCCATTTCACTTTACAGGCGTACTTTGTTTTATGATGCTTTGCTTTATTGCGCTTTCCAGATAATGTGGTTCTCCCTGTGTCGGGCAATCCATTGGCACCATTTTTCAAACAGCATTTGCCCATTTCATGTTTCTGTGTCACATTTTGGTAATTACTACAATATTCCAAAGTTTTTAATTAGTATCATATTTGTTATGATAATCTCTGATCAGTGATTTTTGATGTTACTATTAGAATTGTTTTGGTGTGTCACGAACTACACCCATATAAAACAGCAAACTTAATAAATTCGTGTGCTCTGACTACTCTGCAGGCTGGCTGTTCCCCATCTCCCTTCCTCTCCTGGTGGCCTCTATTCTCTGACACACAGCAGTATTGAAATTAGGCTAATTAACTGTATAGCAGCCTTTTAAGTGTTGAGGTGAAAGGAAGAGTCACACATCTCTTTAAATCAAAAGCTAGAAATGATTAAGCTTAGTGAGGAAAATCTGTCGAAAGCCAAGATAGGTGGAAAGTCAGGCTTCCTGCACCAAACAGCAAAGTTTGTGTAAAAGAAAAGTTCCTGAAGGAAATTAAAAGTGCTAGACTGGTGAACACACAAATGATAAGAAAGCAAACAGCCTAATTGCTGATGTAGAGAAAGTTTTAGTGGTTTGGATACAAGATATTAGCCACAACATTCTCTTAAGCCAAAGCCTAATCCGGGGAAAAGCCCTAAGTTTCTTTAATTCTGTGAAGGCTGAGAGAGGTGAGGAGGCTGTAGAAGAAAAGTCTGAAGGTAGCAGAAGTTGGTTTGTGAGGTTTAAGGAAGGAAGCCGTTTCCATAACATGACAGTGCAAGCTGAAGTAGCAGGTGCTGATGTAGAAGCTGTAGCAAGTTATCCAGGAGATCTAGGTAAGATAATTCATGAAGGTGGCTATGGTAAACAACAGATTTTCAGTGTAGATGACAACTTTCTATTGGAAGAAGATGCCATCTAGGACTTTCATAGATAGGTGAAGTTGGTGCCTGGCATCAAAGCTTCAAAGGACACCCTGACTCTCCTGTTAAGGGCTAATGCAACTGATGACTCTTAAGTTGAAGCCAGTGCTCATTTAACACTCTGAAAACTCCTAGGGCCCTTAAGAATTATGCTAAATATACTCTATCTTTCCTCTGTAAATGGAACAACAAGGCCTGGATAACAGCACATCTGTCAACAACATGGTTTACTGAATATATCTTTTTTAAATGTTCATTTATTTTGAGAGAGGGAGAGCATGAGTGGGAGTGGGGCAGATGGGGGCAGGGAGAGAGAGAAAAAGAGAGAGAGAGAGAGAGAGAGAGAGAGAGAGAGAGAGAGAGAGAATCCCAAGTAGGCTCCGTGCTGTCTGTGCAAAGCCTGACACAGGGCTTGATCTCACAAACTTTAAGATCATGACCTGAGCCGAAATGTAGAGTTGGACGCTCAAGTGACTGAGCTACCCAGTCGCCCCAGTTTACTGAATATTTTAAGTCCACTGTTGAGACATGCTGAGAAACACAGATCTCTTTCAAAATATTACTGCTCGTTGACAATGCTCCTGATCACCTAAGGGTGCCGATGAAGTTGTACAATGAAATGAATGTTGTTTTCGTGTCTGCTAACACGACATCCATTCTGCAGCCTGTCCATCAACTCTTGTTATTGAAGAAATACATTTCCTAAGGCTGTAGCTGCCTAGAGAGTTATTTCTCTGATGGATCTGGGCAAAGTAAATTGAAAATCTTCCAGAAAGGATTCACCTTTCTAGGTGCCATTAAGAACATCCATGATTCATGGGAAGAGATCAAAGTATCAGGATTGACAGGTGTTTGGAAGGGGTTGATTCCAACCCTCGTGGATGACTGTGAGGGTTTCCAGACTTCAGTGGAGGAAGTCAGTGCAGATGTGGTGGAAACACCAGGAGAACTAGGATTAGAAATGGAGCCTGAAGCTGTGACTGGCTTGCTGCAGTCTCATGATAAACCTTTAATGGATAAGGAGTTGCTTCCTTTTTTAAAAAATGTTTATTTGTTTTTGAAAGAGAGAGGGACAGAGTGCTAGTGGGGGAGGGGCAGAGAGAGAGGGAGACACAGAATCCAAAGCTGGCTCCAGGCTCTGAGCTGTCAGCACAGAACCTGATGCGGGGCTCGAACCCATGAACTGTGAGATCATGACCTGAGCGGAAGTCAGACACTTAACCCACTGAGCTACCCAGGCGCCCCGATAAGGAGTTGATTTTAATGGATTGAACAAAGAAAGTTGTTTCTTGAGATGGAATCTACTCCTGGTGAAGATGCTGTGAAGATTGTTAAAATGACAAAGGATTTAGAATATTTCATAAACTTGTAGATAAAACAGTGGCAGGGTTTGAGAGGATTAACTCCAATTTTGAAAGGAGTTCTGTGGGTAGAATGCTATCAAACAAACAGCATCATGTTCTATGGAGAAATCATTCTTGAAAGGAAGAATCCATCACTACAGCAGACTTTGTTGTCTTATTTTAGGTAATTGCCACAACCACCCTAGCCTTCAGCTACTACCACTCTGATCAGTCAGGCAAGACCCTCTACCAGCAAAAAGATGATGACTGGCTGAAAGGTTAGATGATGGTTAGCATTTTAAGCAATAAGATATTAAAAAAATTTTTTTTGTTCATCCATTTTGAGAGAGAGAGAGAGAGAGAGAGAGAGGGAGGGAGAGAGAGAATCCCAAGCAGGCTCTGTACTGCAGAGCCTGATGCAGGGCTGGAATCCAGGAACCTCAAGATCATGACCTCACCTGAGAGTTGGACTAACTAATGTTCAACCAACTGAGCCACCCAGGCGCCCCATACAATATTTCTTATTTAAGATTTGTATACACTGTTTTTAGACATAATGTTATTGCACACTTAATAGATTACAGTGTAGTATAAATATAATTTTATTTATACTGAGAAACCAAAAAATTCATTTAACTTGGTTTATTTCAGTATTTCAGCTTCATTGTCATTTGCAGCCCAACCCGCAATAGCTCTGAGGTATGCCTATATTTTGTTGACTCGTGGAGGTCACTAATAGGGCCTTACAAAGTGAGTGTCAGCTTTCTAACACTGTATTTTAGGTAAACCTATCCTAAATATGTCCTTGAAATTTGATGAAAGTTCTCGTAAGGTTACTCGTAGAAAGGTAATGTTTTTACATAGATGTTGTAGATCTGATTATTTTACTCCGTTGTTTGAAATCCTCCAGTGGCTTCAAGTTGCTGTTAACATAAAGACCAATAATTGTGCTTCATCTTATCTCTGCCTGCCTCTGTAGCCAGGTATCCCGCCTGTTTGTCCCAGGCTTCCTACTCTTTCCAGCTGATCTGGCTTTTTATTTATTTAATTATTTTTAACTTTTTTGAGTGCTTAGTTTTTTTCCCATTTCGGGATCCCATAACATACTCTTTTCTTGCTACCCCAGCCTGAATTGGCTACCTCTTATTTTATCAAGTTTTAGCTTAGACATCATCTTGGGGAAACTATATGTCTTAGTCTTGCTATAATGCATTCTCATACTATCTTGTACTTTTTTGCTTCATGATATACCAATTGAAATTAAATAGTGTGTATTATTTTTCATTTGTATGTTCTTGCCATGGATTGTCACCTGCACAAATGTAGAGACTATGACTATCTTGTCCACCACTGTATCATCACTGTTTAGCAGAGTGTCCAATACATAATAGATGTTTGATAATTAACTGTGGAAGAATTACGGATATGTGTATAAACTCTTATGGTCATTTTCTTCTTTCTCTTTTTTTTTAGGTTAAAGAAAGACCTGATGTGGGAGTTTATATCAAAGATTTATCAGCTTATGTGGTAAATAATGCTGACGATATGGATAGAATTATGACTCTAGGCCACAAAAATCGTAAGTGGTAGTGCATAATTGTGATTGAACATTTATGTGTTGAGTAGGCTTTTATTTATAAAAATGATTTTTAAAAATCCTCACAGTGGACTATGAAGGTACTAAATTCCTATTTTATGATTGAGGAAACTGAATCTGAGTTTAAGTAACTTGTCCAAGGTTGTATACTACTTACTAAGTGGCATAGTCTTTGAGTGTAGACTGTTAGTCATCATTAACCAAGCTCTTTACTGCTTCCCTTTTGTTGGGGAGAAAAGCAAACCAAAATTAAATGAAATTCTTTTTAAGAATTATTCGAAGTTTTGTGTAAAGAGTAAGAAACTTCAACACTGTTTAAACGCAAGCTGCCTCGGGTCTAGTACTAGTGGTGCTGCCAGCAGCAATTAGAGATCAGAGGTAAAAAATTAAGAACGTAGGAAGTAAACGTCTTTTTGAGAGTTTTTTTTTGACTAGACTGTAAATCTAGCAAGCTCAAAGAAATTAAAGAAAAATTTAGAAATCAATTGTATTCTTATAAACCAAGTAATAGACCACATGATAACAGGAAAATGAGCAGAAGATAATATATGAATATGTTACTCACAGAAGAACTATACACAGCAACCAGCGTATGAAGGTATGTTCAACAGGACAATTAATCAGGAAACAGCAGTGGGAAACAGCAGTGTATTAGAACAGCAGTGGGAGATATTTCACCCATTGTTTTCGACGAAGGGATATCCAGGTTCATGAAGCTCCGACGAAATGGGCACTGGTGATGGGAGTGTAATGCGCTACAGCCTTTCTGAAGTGTAGTGTAATGGTATCTGTTGACATTTTTTAGAGTGCATGCCTTTTACACTTGCTCTTAGCCAAAAGGCCGAGAAGCGATAGAGAGTGCATGCCTTTTGACCCAGTGTTTCTAATTCTAACACGTATCTATCTACCTACCTACCTATATTGATATATATGTAGAAAAATATTTTCTTAATATTTAAGTAATCTCTACACCCAGTGTGAGGCTCAAACTGACAAACCTGGGATCAAGTTGTATGCTCTTCCAAATGAGCCAGCCAGGCACCTCTGGAAAAATATTTTTAGACATAAACAAACAAAATGCCTTATTGCAACATTATTTGTAATAGTAAAAGTTTGATGTAGTCTAAATAGCTATCAGTCAAACATTGTCTATACAGATTATGGTACAGAAATAATATGGAACATAATGAAGTTATAATAAAAAGAAAGAGTAAATCTACATGTAGAGACCTGAAAGATTTTCAAGGTATATCATTAAATGAAAAGAAAGCAAATCACAAAATAGTATGTACTGCATCATCTCATTTATGTATGTAAAAAAGCCAAATTATTAAACAACTCTGTATTTGGGCTCTGTGTGTGTGTGTGTGTGTGTGTGTGTGTGTGTGTGTATAGACTTGTGTGTATGTTAAATACAAAACAAAAGAACATTTAATAGTGGTTACCTTTAGGGAAGGGGAAGTAAGTTTGGGCAAAAGGGATATATGGAGCCTTTACTTTACGTTTTCAGATGTCTGTATTTTCAAATTTTTTTTATATCAGGAATACGATCATGTATTGCTTATTCTATAAAAAATTTTTTTTGACTTAAGAGTCCATTCACAGTAGTGATCAAAACTTTCCATTAAGAACTGAGAATTGGGGCACCTGGGTGGCTCAGTTGATTAAACATCTGACTCTTCATTTTGGCTCCAGTCATGATCTTGCATTTTGTGAGTTCAGGCCCCACGTTGGGCTCTGTACTGATGATGCAGAGCCTACTTGGGATTCTCTGTCTCCCTCTCTTTCTGCCCCTCCCCTGCTCACACATTCTCCGTCTCTCTCTCTCTCTCAAAAATAAACTTTTAAAAAACAGAAACAGAAACAAGACAAAAAAAGAAAAAAAAGAATTAATTTGGTATGTGAGATTGATTCAAGGAAAACTATAATTCTAATGAGAGAAATAAGAAGAAATAAAAAAAGAGAAATGAAGCCAAAGACATTTTAAGACGTAAGATAGAAGAGAGAAAAATACTCTTAATAGATTGAATCCAAGAATTAGACATTTAGTACAAATACCAAATAGAAAAGTTCTAACATAAAAACAGTAATTTTATCATATGGAAATAGAGTAAAGTAACTATCCAGAGGACAGTAGCAGAGCAAGGAAATGTGACAGTAAAAGCTGTTATTCTAAACAGATGAAAAATTGATACAAATATAAAATTAGTTCCCATTTTGTGCAGGAGGTCATAGTATAGAACTAGTTAATTTTACACTTAAGAAAATAAGTCTTTAGGGGTACCTGGGTGGCTCTGTCAGTTAAGCGTTTGACTTTAGCTCAGGTCATGATCTCATGGTTCGTGGGTTTGAGCCCCACGTCTGGCTCTTTGCTGACAGCTTAAAGCCTGGAGCCTGCTTTGGATTCTGTTCTCCCTCTCTGTGTCCCTCCCCCACTCATGCTTTGTCTCTCTCTGTCTCTCAAAAATAAATGTTAAAAAACATTAAAAAAAAAAAGTCTTTGATTTCATGAATATGTGACGTGCTTGGCAACTAAAATGCAAATTTAAGATAGTCAATTATATTTGCATTGCGGGCACTATTGTGAATTTGCTAATATTTCTTTAGACCAGTGTTTTTCAGCCATTAAACAATAATCATTTTGGGGCGCCTGGGTGGCTCAGTTGCTTAAGCGTCCGACTTCGGCTCAGGTCATGATCTCACGGTTCGTGGGTTTGAGCCCCACGTTGGGCTCTGTGGAGACATGCTCAATGTCTGGTGCCTGCTTCCGATTCTGTGTTTTCCTCTTTCTCTGCTGTCCCTTGCTCACGCTCTGTCTCTCTCAAAAATAAAATAAAACATTAAAAAAAATTTTTTTTAATTATCATTTTCTTTGAAAATTTTTATTTTTGAATAGATCATCCATACACATGTTCTAAAATTCAAAAGGCACAAAAGTAAACATTGAAAAACAAGTCTTTCTTTTACCCTTGGGTGTCACTCACCTAGTTCCCGCCCCAGTGGCAACCTCCATTAATTTCCCACGTACCCTTCCTGATACAGTCCATGAATGCCCAAGTGCAGTTTTACAGAGAGTGCTTGTCCTTTTTTCAGGAGCCAAATAATAGTAGTATTTATTCACTTAAGTGTGTTGTTATAGAAATCATTTCACATCAACACATGGTAGACCTTTTAAAAATAGCTATATAGTATTTCGCTGGGTTTATCTACATAACGTATTTACCCAATATTTTATTCATGGACTTTTGTGTTGTTTTCACTCTCGCTGTTATTAGTAATATTGTAGTAAATATTCTTACATATGTGAGTTTATACACATGCAATCATATTTATAGCATAAGTTCTCCTTACCATCTTGAAAAACATAAATATTTAATTTTTTTCTTTTTTTTTTTTTTAAAGTTTGTTAATTTATTTTGAGAGAGACAAAGACAGCATGAGTTGGCGGGGGGGCGGTGCACAGAGAGAAAGGGAGAGAAGGAGAGAATTCCAAGCAGGCTCCATACTGCCAGCTGAGAGCCCACATGGGGCTTGAAGTCACGAAATTGTGAGATCCTGACCTGAGCTGAAACCAAGAGTTGCACGCTTAACTGACTGAACCAACCAGGCACCCTAATTTTTTTCCTTCATCCAAAATAAAAATTTTGACACAAATTAAAGCTGTGGAATTTTGTTTTATTTCCATATGTGATATTTCAGTAGGTTGGAGTATTGAGTCAACCTGACTGCGGCAAGCAGTTTTCTCCTTAGGGATTATAACATTCAGTATAGCTTGTCTGTTGCATTGCTTTGTTTTCATAACTGGAAATAAAGAAAAATCACAGTCATAAATCCCATGCTGTACTTATGTTGGAAAAATAATAGGTACTAAAATATTTAATACCAGTTTTTTACGTTACATGTTTTCTCCCACCCCAGATTGAAAATCACATAATTGTAAAACTCTTCCAACCCTTTGATCCACTAGTGCCAGTTTGAAAAATACATCCCATAGACATAGTCCTTAAGAGAAAGAGAGGTATCTGCTCAAAGATGCTTGTATTGTTGTTCCTTATGAGGACCTAAAATGGGAAACAATCCAAGTATCAGGGAATAGCAAAATCAGTTTTAGTAAGATTTGCAAGTTGTTTTTGCATGGAAATATAGGAGATAATGTTAGGTGGAAAAAAACAGAAGGTAAAATAATACTCTGTGGAAACATGTATGTGTAGTACTACTTACCAGATGTTATAAAGTGGTGTCGGATCAGATTTTTAAAGATTAAAAAAAAATTTTAATTGTGGTATTACTTTTTTTTAATGTTTTATTTATTTTGAGAGAGAGAGAGAGAGAACAGGGGATGGGCAGAGAGAGGGAGGGAGAGAGAGAGAGAGAGAGAGAGAGAGAGAGAAAGAATCCCAAACAGGCTCCGTGAGATCATGACCCGCGCTGAATTCCAGAGCCAGACGTTTAACTGACTGAGCCACCCCGGGGCCCCTGGATATTTGATTATTTTTAAAGATGCTCCCTGGTGTTACACTTTCTAAGAACTTCCTTCCTTTCTTCAAGGTTCTGTTGGCGCAACTAATATGAATGAACACAGTTCCCGTTCCCATGCCATCTTTACAATTACTATAGAATGCAGTGAAAAAGGCGTTGATGGTAACATGCATGTCAGAATGGGGAAGCTCCATCTTGTAGACCTTGCTGTAAGTAACAGGATACTACTGAAGGAATAACCTTTGTTGTTTTTTACCTTTTATTAATGGATAAAAATTCAAGTGAAAATGTGTAATTTACATACAGTTTTTAAGTTGTTTACTTATGTACGTGTTTAACTTATTTATCATAGAATATTTCTAATGTATACAAAAGTAGTTAGAATAGTAGAATGATCTCCCATATACCCGTGACCCAACTTCAGCGATTACCAGTTCATGGCCAGTCCTGATTCATTTTTGCCTTTAGCCACTTTTTCCCTTCCTGTATTATTTTGAAGCAAATTCCAGATATCCTGTCAGATTTTTCAGCATCAAAGTCTGTTTTAAACTGTCAGAGGCATATTCTGTATTTTTTATTTGAGCTTTATTTCTATGTCTGTTGCTAGGGTTCAGAAAGACAAGCAAAAACTGGAGCTACTGGACAGCGCCTGAAGGAAGCCACAAAAATCAATCTTTCCCTTTCCACCCTTGGTAATGTAATTTCTGCCTTGGTTGATGGAAAAAGCACTCATGTTCCTTATCGCAACTCTAAATTGACTCGTCTTCTTCAAGATTCCTTAGGAGGAAATTCAAAAACCATGATGGTAAGACTTAATTGTGGAATAGTTAGCATCAGGCAAATTTCAGATTCCTGTTGATGTATTGCCATGACTTTTTAAAAACCATTGATATTTCACTTTTTTTGACTTTGTGATGATTCTATTGGAAGAACATCATGTGTGCTAACCCATATAATGGTGTTTAGAAATCTGTGTGGTGGTTGCTTTCTTGTTCCAGAAGGCCAGAGAGGAACTATCTATGCTTAAGAAATTCTTTTTGATATATTTGTAATGGTAGTATTAATTTTGACTGCATCAGGGGTAAAATGTTTTGTATTCCTGATTCAACAGTGTGCAAATATTGGGCCAGCAGATTACAATTATGATGAAACTATTAGTACATTACGGTATGCTAACCGTGCTAAGAATATTAAAAATAAAGCTAGAATCAATGAAGATCCAAAGGATGCTTTGCTTCGTCAGTTTCAGAAAGAAATAGAAGAACTGAAAAAAAAGCTTGAAGAAGGTAACTTTTTCTCAAAATACTGATGTTAATATTGGCTAAAAATATATTGTTTAACCACTAAGTATTCTAATAAAAATTACTTATTTAAATTCTTTGAGCATCTAATTTTGATATTTTAAGGAATATTTCTACAAGGTAACTTGATACATACTTTAGCATTTTCATATTAAGTTTAATTATGTAATATTTGTGTATGTAATTTTTAAAAATTGATTTAATTTAAACCTCCATCTCAATCCCTGTGACCTTTTATAGATTTCATTTGACCACTTATTCAATAATGAATTTTTTTGTCTCCATATAAGAGTGAGTTTTACCATATATATATTTAGGTGAAAATGACCTAGAGTATCAGTCACTGTTGTTCAAAATAAAGAAAGCTATCAGAGAGTCATGGGTAAACCACATTTACTCTAAGTCAAATTCATTGTGTGGCTTTGAAAATAATGCTTTCGTTCTTAAATTTGAACATGAGATTGAATTTGAGGAATCCTTTTCTAATAAGGTGTTAGAAGGTTAGAAAGTTTGAAGACCTTGTTCATGAGGGTGAGAAATTTACCAGCTGTCATTAAGTGCTCAATGACTCTCTCCACTTCATGCTAAGAACTGATTGGCACAAGGGGTGCTTTGCATAGCAGACAAACAGAAGGCTTAAAATAGCTTTTTTACAGTTTATGGGGAAACTGGATACGTCAAATGTGAATTCCAACATCACAAATGTTTGGAGATAGTACTGATTGAATAAATTTGAGTAAGATTATTGAGGAAAAGCAGTATAATTGAGTTGCCTCTTAGTAATGAAATTTGGTATTTTAAATATGACCACTAGGTGGTATTTATAGTCAGTATGTTTTAAAGGTTTAAATTTCTTAGATTTGTTAATGTTCATTTCATCCTTTATTTTGCTGCCTTTATTTTTTTTACATTTTTTAATTGTGGCAAAATGCACATCACGTAAAATTTACCATTTTAACTACTTTTATTCGTTTATTCATTAAGTTTGTTAACCTTGTTCTGCAACCATTACCACTGTCCATCCCTAAAACTTTTTAATCATCCCCAAATGAAACTCTGTACCCATTAAACATTTACTCTCCATCCCCCTCTCTGCCTCAACCCATGGTAACTCCTGTTCTATCTCTGAATTTGACTATTCTAGATAACTCATATAAGTAGAATCATATAATATGTGTGCTTTTATGTCTGGCTTATTTTACTTAGCATAAAGTCCTCACAGTTCATCGATGTCATAGCATATGTCAGAATTTCCTTCCTTTTAAAGGCTGAATGATACTCATTCTTTGTATACACCGCATTTTGTTTATCCGTGCATCTGTTGATGGGCACTTGGGTTGCTTCTGCCTTTTGACCACTGTGAATAATCGTGCTATGAATGTGGGGATACAGATACATGTTTGAGTTCTTGCCTTCACTTGTTTTGGGTATATACCCAGAAGTGGAATTGTTGGATCATGTGGTAATGCTCACTTTATATTTAAAACATTTCATTTCATTTCATTTCATTTCATTTCATTTCATTTCATTTCA